CTGTGAGTTCAAGACCAGTCAAGGTAGTTGCAAATGTTCCTTAGCTACATCACACTCACTGCCAAAGGTTTCTGGAAATATCCCCTAGGGGACAAAATAGGATCATTCTCGGTGTCTCGGTCCTCACACAAAGAGAACGAAAATCAGGAAGGACATAAGCAAGAAGGCAAAATGCTAAACTAAGCCGAGATTGGATCACTCAGTACTTAGAAGTACATGACTTTTAGTCTAAGACACTAAATATGTGGTAACAGAGGAGTAATGTGTTCTTTCTCTTCCTTTCTGCAGATTCAGAATGTTCTTTATGATTTTTTTCAGAAGCCGGATTTGCATCTTGGTAAATATGCCTTTACTGCAGCGTTTTTTCTTTGGGAGGGAGGTTGAGGTCACACAATCAACATTAGTGCTGATGAGGATGGACGCACTTAAAGTTAGATAAGCCTTCTCCGTTATTCACAGAGACAGTGTCAAGGAACACAGAAGTAATCAGTCAGCCTCAGTCTTTGCAGTCCAGTGCTCCCTTGTAGTACAAATATTGTGTGATTCCCTGCCCCTTTGTTATCCTGTGACGTTCCCAGAAAATAGCAATTGTAGAATTTAGAAGAAAAAGTATAATGCCATAATTAAAATAAAGGAATTGTGCAAAGAAAGGCATTAAAATTCTCTGTAGGACCAGAAAGGTAGCTCAATGGCTAAGTGTGATTATTGGAGCATTATAAGGAACTTAGGACCAGAGCTCAGATCCTGACACCCACGGAACAAGCCTGCTGTCCTAAGAATGACGGTTATACTAACTCTGAGGGGCCCAACACCCTTTTCCAGCGTACACAGCCCTCCTCCTCCTCACATGGACTCACAGACAGATAAATAAATCTTTAAAAATTTATATGTACTATATCTCAATATATAAACTTTTAGTTACAATATCACTAGAAGAAATAATAAATAGACCTTTTTAACCTATTCTTCATGAATAATGAGTTATAAGAAAAATAAGATTACATCTAAGTAACGTTTTCCCTGTATTGACATTTTGAAATAAAGGCAAAATGAACTTATATATTCATATAGGTATTACATATACATGAATATTCATGTGTGTGTATGTGTGTGCACGTACCTATGTGTGCTGTTCTCACGGCTAGGGGTGTTACAAATGCAGACTAACACAGATGTGTTGCATACAAGTTCAGATTAAAGTTGCAATGTCACTTTCTATATATAAGACAATTTCTGAAATGGTGAACAAATACTGATAAGTTCTGGAACAAGTCTTTCATTCAACCCTCACTCAAAAACTTCACAGTAATTATATTTGCAGAAAAACTGAACAGCAAAATGAGGGGACAGGTATATAGCTGACTCACAGTAGTAGAAAAAGTGCTGAGCGTGTACAAAGGCAGGGCTCAAAACTTTGCAACAACAACAGCAACAAAACAGTAGCAAAACTGTACTCTGCATTTGCATACAAAGTAAGTTCTAAACTGAGAGCTGTTAAAGCAGCGTTTCACCTTTTCCAAGGTCTGACAGGAGAGGGGAGACTTTATGGTGTAGAAATCGTGGGAATTCTATCTTTACACCAGCTCCCCACCACTGAAACAACAAAAACTCTCCTACAAACTTCCACTCTGCACACCAGGAGAGAACAGCCCATCATAGGTTTGATGCATTTATTTGGGAAAATGTTTCTTTACGTGAGTCTAAGCTAAGAGAACCTGACTTGTAACTAAGGATTTGAGTGTGGATCCTGGAATTTATGTCATTTGTGACCCAATGATTGTTTGGCCTTATTTTGGTTTTTGAGATAGGGACTGCTGCTGGCCTGGAACTCTCTGTGTAGACCTCCTAGTGCTGCCTGGCACTCACAGAGATCCTCCTGTCTCTGTCTCCCAGTATAACACACTGTTTTTAATTTGTCTTTTTTTTTTTAATCACTGTGTTTAGCGGTAACTATAACTTATGAGACTATTTTCATTCTTTCCTTGCTTTTTTTCTTCTCTGTGGTTTTTTTGTTTGTTTGTTTGTCCTGGAATTCACTATGTAGACCAGGCTGGCCTCTACCTCACAAGTGCTGGAATTAAAGGTGTGAGCTACCATGCTCACTCTTTCCTTGCTCTTTAAAATAAAACATGCTTCTTAGCATCCTGTCTGCTCTTGGGAACATGCCTCGGGCCTTTCTTCCTGACAACCTGTCCTCTCCCTGCTCTCAGCATGTTTGAAAACTGGAATCCTCCCATCAGCTCAGCCTCCATTGCTGTTTCCGAAATTCTTTGCGATATCATTGCTTATTCATTTATTCTGGGGGAGAGTGAGGAAGCAGTGAGCTAAGAGAGTCTGCTAGGATCCTGCTGAAAATCAGATGGCTTCTCAACCATCCCTGCCCAGCGAGATGAGCGTTCTCCCCTCTTTTGCTTGACTACAGTGTTTATTTCCTGTATGATGAGTTCGGTTTACCGAGCCCTCACTTGATTCCAGACAGTGAGGCGTAAAGAATAAAAAGAAAATTAAGACGTGAGTTTTCACCTTACGTTGTTCAATATCAGCCACTGGTGGTAGAGACCAGTCTCGTCTGCGTAATTTTCTGAAGGTGGAAGGCCTCTTAGGAGAGTTATAACTGGTGTCTCTTAGGACAGTTACAAAACTCAAGAGTGACTGGAGAGTCTTCCCTACCACCTTGTCCCGGTCCACTGCAGGTGGAGATGCTGTTAGGAGCAGGAGAGAGCTAGTGTCTTAGTCCTTCCAGCACAGGACTGTGTCTATCTCCTGGTGAGCTCAATATGGACTTGGTAGTTACCATATCAGATGGAGGCTTGTTTTGCTTTACTGGAACTAAGGACTGAACCCGGGCCTTGTGCTTGCTAGATAGGAGCATTCCCACTGAGCTAAGTCCCTAGCCCTTAAAGTTGAGGTATGGAGGGTCCCCATTACCAGTCACCCTTACTCAGACGATTCTTTTCAATCCCCTCTTGGCATTGTGATTTCTCAGCTCTTCTGCACATGAAGTGTCGGCTTCCAGAGTTTGCTTTTTTGACTTTCTCATCACCCGCCACACTGTTCACACACCCTGGATTTTCTTATTCTAACCCACAAATCTAGTTGATGACTCCCAGCATCAAACTGTGCCCCTGAGCTCCTGATCATACATGAAAAACCTACAATGATCGGTGAGAAATGTAAGTTGCTGATCAAGACGATGATTATCATTACAGAAAAACAAAAGATCTGTGTGTCTGCAAGTACATGCACATCTGGAGATACACAGGAAGTTTGCTGAATAGATGACAAGCAACAGCAGTGACTCACTCTGAGGCCAGGGAGACTGAAGATGCTGAGGAAAATACAGAAAAAGGAAGATGTTCATATTCACACACAGTTTACAAGGTTACCGGAAGCTGTTCATACTCACACTCAGTTTACAAGATTACCGGAAGCTGTTTATACTCACACACAGTTTACAAGGTTACCGGAAGCTGTTTATACTGACACACAGTTTACAAGGTTACCGGAAGCTGTTCATACTCACAAACAGTTTACAAGGTTACCTCCATAACTATTTTCCGAGGTGGTGAATAGCCTTTATATCATTTACATCTTTTATCAAAAGATCACATTCACATGGTGTTTGTTAATTTGAGAAGCATTAAAGACAAAAAAATTTTAAACTGGGTGTGGTACACACCTTTAATCCCAGAACTCAGGGGCACAGCCAGGTGGATCTCTGTGAGTTCCAGGCCAGCCTGATCTACAGAGCAAGTTTCAGGACAGCCAGGGATATGTAGAGAGATCCTGTCTCAACATATAAAATAAAAAAAGAAGGCAAGCTCCTAAAGAAAAAAAAAAAGGAGAAAAAACTCTTTAAAGAGAATGTTTACAGAGAGCATTGGTTTAGATCCGCTCGCATAAATGCTCTCACAATCCTACACTGATTGTTTTAGTCTTTTGTGTTATTATACATATCTGTTTCTGCTTTATTCCAACTTGGTTATTAAAAATTTAGGTTCATTCTTTTTAATATCTGAGTTTCTTGGTTAAATAAAGCCAGGAAAAAACCTTTGGTAGTTATAGGAATATTATCCAACTACAAATTATTTACTGTAACTATGGATAGATACTCATTGAGAATAATTTTAGTACCATATTATAAGTATAAAGTACTAATTCATTACATCTAAACTAATTAGCAAATAACTTTTATTCCAAAATTAGAATCGCGTTGCAAAGATCTGATTTTGATCAAATCTATGGAACCAGGATTGAATCAAGAGCAATTTATACAAGTAAGGAGCTGTGTTATTCAATATTTGTATCAAATTATTCTGCCAGCTTCAGTTGTATTTTGATAGATGTAATATACATCATTTGAGGATTAAATCAAATGAAAGAATAAAACTTATCATTTCTAAGATACATACGTCAAAATGTTTAACCCCTCAGAAGTTGGGTTACAGTTTTCAAATAGCTCCTTTCTTTCTTTCAGTTTATGACATAAACAATATGAAGAACTTCTACTGACACCTTCTGATAAGATCAAGAAAACCCATCATTTTATAGTCAGTGAAATCTGATTGTACAAATAGTGAGACCTAGGACTGAAGGTCTACATAATTTTTAAACCTGAGAAAGTACGACTCTACTGTAATGGAATAAGTGAAAGAAACCATTTTCCTAGACCCAAATTCTGTCTGCTACAGCCTGGCTTTCACGTTTTTTGCTTCTTCTCTTCCTCCAGTTTTTCTGTAATGAGTCCAAGAACTAATTCAGCTTCTACATTTTCTTCTCACCCGTTCTTACTCCACTGAAGGTAACAGCCATGCACGAGACAGAGTTTCTGTGTGAAGGATTTCTTAAATCCTTTCCAAGTGGTTCTTGTCTAGACCAACTGCGAATGAGATACACTCCCCAGAAACACAAAGACAAACGGCAGAGTTAGAATAGTTAGGAGGAGCCCAGTGAGATGACTCAGCACTTCAGGTAGAGGCAAGCCTGCTGTAAATCCTAAGGTTGATCCCAGGAGCCGCAGAGTGGCTCTCTGCCCTCTACACTCTTGCATGCCTGAGGGGAAAAGTAAGTTCTGGAAAGGCAAGGCTTTCTCTCTCTAATGTAAGTATAGACATAACTTATATTTCTTTGCAAAAATTGCTTCTCAGGGCTAGTGACCTAGTTGTCTTAGTAGTTTCTCTACAAATAGGTGACTTAGAAAATGTTCTTGACCTGGTCATGGTGGCTGGCTCGGGTCTTTAATCCCAGCACTTGGGGGAGGCAGAGGCAGGAGGTTAGAAGTTAGTAGCTGTAAATTAGAAGATGGCCAGATATTCAAAGTGAGTTCTAGGACAGTCAGATCTGTTATACAGAGAAACCCTGTTTCATAAAACAAACAAACAATAAATTGTTATTTTTAATTATAAAAGTAATATGAAAGCCGGGCGATGGTGGCGCACGCCTTTAATCCCAGCACTCGGGAGGCAGAGGCAGGCGGATCTCTGTGAGTTCGAGACCAGCCTGGTCTACAAGAGCTAGTTCCAGGACAGGCTCCAAAGACACAGAGAAACCCTGTCTCGAAAAAACAAAAAAAAAAAAGGGAATATGAATTTTAATCATTTGTGAATTATATCTCAATAAGAAAGTAATATGGACTCATTATAGAAAATGATAAAAAGTTTAAGGAAAAGTGTTAAGCCTGTAGTTATTACCAACTTACATCTCTGTTAACACTGTGATAGTTTTCCTCAGATCATAATAATGACTCCCATTTTTACCCATTTGGCTAAAGCAAACCTTTCTTGGTTTTATTATTGCTTTCATCTAGTCTGATTAGCATTCCTGGATGCCATTTATGAGGCAAAACCCAAAGTGCTCACCGCTGTGCAGGCCCCCGGCAGCCTGCCACCTTCTCATCCACCCTCATCGCCGTCAAGCATGGTCAAGTCAGATATCTGGGGCTTTAGCTCTACTTACGTTAGAGAAATAGGGGGGTGTGCTTCTACTCCATCTTGGTCCCTAAAACATTTTAATGGCATCGTAATGCTTTGCTTTGGGTTTTTGTCATTATTTAATCATATCTTTATTGTTGGACAGTTACTTGCTCATTATTCCAAATGAAAATAAGACCAGTATCTGTGTGTAAATCTTTGTTTACAGTTTGAAACCGTGAACTACAAGTGGAGTAGGGCTAGTGACTTTATGAAAAGCTCCTCTCTCTCTTTCTCTCTCTCTCTCTCCCTCTCTCGGAGGGAGGAGACAACAACACACGTGTGGATTTGGGCATGCACCCATATGAGGAGGCAGCAATCTGCAACCCAAGGAAAGACTCTGCCAGACACCAACTCTTCTGAGCCTTCGGCTTGGACAGTTCGGCCTCCAGAAATGGGAGGAAATCGTTTCAGTTTTCAAAAATACCTAGTCTAATTTAATTGCTCTGGAAGCCTGGCAGAACTCCAGTAATTTTTTTTAGAATGAATTCCCAGACATGGAAATGGCTAGATCAAAGAACGAACAACTGAAAACTTGGAGTACCTGCTGTCATTTGTGCTGTTGACGGCATTGATTTATTCTCCCAGCAGCAGCGTACAAGAGCTCTCAGCACTTTATTCCCACCCACAGTAAGCATTACTAAGAATAAGAGAGCTGCAATTTGCTTTTTTGTTCTTTCAGTGCTTGGGATTGCACCTAGGACCCTTACATGCTGGGCAATCGCTGTACCTCTGTTATGGCTCCTGCTCCTCACATTTTTTAAAAAATAGAGGTTAAAGGGTTGTGGAGATGGTTCAGTGGTCAAGAGCACTGACTGCTCTTCCAAAGTACCCAGGTTCAATTCTCAGCACTCCACGGCAGCTCACGGCTTTCTGTAACTCTAATAATAGGGGAGATCCGACACCCCCATACAGACATGCATACAGGCAAAAGCACTAAAAGCAAATGAATTTTAAAAAATAGAGATTAAATTTTGTATGTTAAAGCACTTTATTATGTGACGTATTTATTTCTTTTCCAGTGTGAGCAGGCTATGTCAGCAAAATGGGCACATTTTGTCTTTCCACATTTAATGTGTGATTTCATGAAGTCACAAGACACTTTGATTTCATTGACTTTAATTCAGCAAGTGTTCTGCTACTGTTTTCACGGTAGACTCCGTCACTGGCTTAATTACTATGACTAATAAGAACTAAACAGTATTAAGAGTATTAAAGTATAACGTACTTGACAGGAGAGAGAGAGAGAGAGAGAGAGAGAGAGAGAGAGAGAGAGAGAGAGAGAGAGAGAGAGAGGGAAGCTACGGGATGGCTTCAAAAGGGTGAAGAGTTCACAGGATTCCAAGAGGACATACTGAAGGCAAAGATTTCTGGAAAGCTAATTCAGACTCAACAAAACGTCTGGGGGGGGCGGGAATGGGGCAGAGGGCAGGGGCAAGGACAGGGGTCAGATAAGCTGTAAGAACTGCAGGTGCAGAACTGCTCATGGTGCAGAGTTGTCAAAAGCTGCTGGGGTGGGGGAAGGGAGGGTAATTTTAGTGTCAGCTTTCCTAGGCGGGGAAACTTGCCTTGAACGGGTACGCAGGTTAGAGGTACATTGCTGCGGCCATTTTCCTGGATGGGGAAAAAATAGCTTTTATAGCATCAGAGTGATGTCATTGCATTATTCTTTGGTCTGGTGTGTTAAATTAGTTCATGGGTCTGGGTTTCTGATGTGGTTTTGATATCCCCATGTATGCAGGTGTTCCTGGTCTAATTTGAAGTTCATAGGTGGCTACTTTAGAGGTTGCTTAGCAGTCTTGCCTCGTGTTTGTGCTACAGTTGTTCACTTGCACAGACAAGACATGAGTCATTCTGCTTCGGTGTTTGCACAGAAGACGGAGGAAACCGCTGTTTTATGAAATGGGATTGCTCAGGACAAGCCCCAGCTTGAGTTAAGTGTTCTATACTATACAAAGTAAATTCAAGCAGATCGTAGCCCAGGCTCCATACCCGTCGTACCTTTTGATGTTTAGTTTAAGTTAGAATTGTAAATTCTCATTATGGATTGATGGCATCACCATGTGTAATCACCAATTTTGAGTGTCTCTCAAATTTCCTCAATTTTTATTTTTATATTTTAATATTAGCTTTGTTTGTTTTTGAGATAAGGTTTCTCTGTGTAGCCCTGATTGTCCTGGAACTCATTCTGTAGACCAAGCTGGCCTCTAACTCAGAGATCTGCCTGCCTTTGCCTCTGAGTGCTGGAATTAAAGGTGTGTACCAGCTCAAATTTCCTCAATTAAAAAAGAGTTTAAAGAGGTTCTCCAATTTCAAAACATTTTTGTTAATTCTGTGCAAACATACCAATAGATCATTTAATGGTGCCCCCTGGTGCTTCTTTGCTTCCATGGCTCTCTCATGATCAGCTCAGTCGATGCTGTTTTCCTGGGTATTTTATTTTTAAGATGAACTTGAAAATTATTTTTAACAAATAACATAAGATATAAAGGGATGTTATAAAATACCATGCATATTTCTAGTACTCAAGGCCATGCCCAACCAGGTCCAGCATCTCAAAGGCCATAGGCTGAAGGAGTTTCCCCAGTACCTCCTCCTTTTGTCTAAATAAGAGAGTTTCAAACCCAATATGAAACTATATACAATAAGAGCAGATATCAAGTATAAAAATTAGAATTACAACCAGCATAAACAATATTAAGCAATAAACATATGTTACATATTTCAATAATTATCCTATTCTAAGGAGTCTAAGTTTTATATTAGAAATGGCTAAGTCATGAGAGGAAAGTAACTATGACTACCTAGTCTTCAACCCCAACAAAGACCTGAGAAGGGAAATAATATTACTTGAGTAGACAGAAGTTCAATCAAGCAACTTCCAAAATGTGCAATAAATGACCAAGACAACTGGCTACCTGGGCAATCACCCAAAGTCTTATTTGCAATGTTGGAACAATCAACTTTGACCTAGAGTAACTGACAGACTATTTTCAGAGGCAGGAAAACTATCTTACCCTATCTTGGCAAGGTTTGGCAGGATTTTGTTGTCGTTGTTTTGTTTTCTTTTCTTTTTTTGTATCCTGCTTGTCTAGTCCGGACATGGTGCATTTTGTCAGTGGCTGAAGCATGGGCAGTTCTTTGCACAAAGGCAAGTTTTGCCAAGAATAAAACAAACTCCAAGTGGAGTGTTTTTGGTGCCCAACATTCTCTTGGGAATAGATCAGTGCTGCCAGAAGCAATCATGTCTCATGTCAACAGAACCCTAAATTATTTAAATGCTATATTCTACAATTTTTTGAAGTAGTTGAAGATTACCTACCTATGTGGAATACAATCTCTGTGTATCTGAAGAACCTGGTTAGTTTAACTATAAGTATGACAAATGTGGATGACTATTGACCTATAATTCTTAATACTTATATAGCTCAAAGACTAAGACTTCATATTAGAATATTAAACAATTTTTAAACAACTGTGCAGCAAATGAGGACAATGACCTAAAAATGTAAACAATGTATAAGTATCTTTGTCAGAGGTAGAAATGTATAGTGCAATATGATAAATATATCCTAAAATTGTGTCAATCAATATACAAAATGTCTTCAGCAGAGGTAGAAGCATGCATGCATACAATATGACAAAATAACTTTGCATAGGTGTACAAATATTGCAAACAGAAATAGGAACATATTAACAATAGGAACAATATAACAAATATAATTTGAATTTGTATCAACACACAAGAATCTATACATCTATACCATTGTAAATGATAAATAATAGCTCACGAGTATTCACTCTATTACTCACTATTATTATTATTAGTGTGAATAAGTTTATTATCTGTTATCTATTATTCCAATCCAATTTCCCTTTTCTTTCCAAAGAAGATCCCTGAGCCTACATAATTTCTACCCCAACCCCCAACCCTGTAACAACTATAAATATACCAGTTATAGTCAATCCCTAGTTGATGTCCCTAACCCTGAGGACAAACTTTGTTGGGGGAGGAGACGTTGTCTTCTAGAATTACTTCTAGCTGTCATGGGGTTGATAATTTTTTTATGGGATCCTGTAAAACTAAAATGATGGTTAAGGTTTTTTTTCTTCTCTATCTTTCAAGCCCAG